CCCAGAGCAGGATTTAGGGGCACCAGGATGGGAGTCCGGGGCATAGGCACCCATGAAGTGGAGCAGGGAGCAAGGGGACAGTTTCTAGTGGGGAAGGACACAGCCAGGTTTGAGGGGCACATGACGGGGCAAGATGGGAGGTGAGGAAATGAGGCAGCCAGCCACTGCTCAGAATGCTGGGCGCCTGGCGGGGCAGCGTTCCCGGAGGGGTAGGGGATGGCAGGAGAGGGTCTAGCCTGGCGGGGGCGGAGCATGCTCCTCCCCAGGTGCTCCGGCTGGCGGGGAGACTGAGCCCCCTCCACCCGGGACCTCTGTCCTGTCCGTCCTCAGTTCTCACCCTGGGTGTCTCAGGCCATCCAGGGCCAGGTGAATGCTGGTCCCAAGGCCACCTGTGAGTGCAAATGAAGAGGCTGAGGGGGGTGTGTGTGTGTGTGTGTGTTCTTCTCATGAAGGTGGAAAACCCTCTAAGTGTGTGTGAACGTGAGCTGAGGTGCGGCCACGTCCCCAGCCAACTGTCCGCGTGCGGGCGTGTGGGGCGCAGGCACGCAGGTGGCCCCACCCACAGTATCCAGGCACCTGCCCGCTCCTGCCCCGCTCCTGCCCCAAACTCAGCACGCGTGGGATTCGCCCCACATACTGCATAAAAGCAGCTCGGACCCCTGGGCCCGGCGCAGGCCTTTGTGTGTGAAGGACCCTTCAGTCTCCCTCTGACGCACCTGCCCGGTGTCAACTCCGCTGCCACAGGGCCCTCAGCTCAGGCAGGCGGCGGGAGGGCTGGGAAGCCTGGGCCCTGGGTGGTGGGGCTGGGAGGGATCCTGGGGCCTGGGGAGATGCTGCCCCCACCCGGCTCAGCTCCAGGGCTGGTCACACGGACCCACAGCCTGCACCTGGTGCCTCCCGTCCACACCCTGCCCCCCCAGTCCCTGATCAGGGCCCGCCGGTGCCCCGAGGTCCGTGACCCCAGGTCTGCCCGCCCAGGTGGAGCTGAGCACGGTGGCCGCCCAGGCCGGCTCCCTGCTGCACAGCCTGGTGCTGCGGGCGCAGGAGCTCGTCCTGCAGCTGCACGCGCTGCAGCTGGACCGCCAGGAGTTCGTCTGCCTCAAGTTCCTCATCCTCTTCAGCCTCGGTGAGTGACGGGGACAGGGGACAGGGAGCTGGACGGGCTGCCACTGAGACCCCAGGAGGGGGCTGTGCCCTGGGGGCTCTTACAAGGGGGGTTGCTTCTTCTCTGGGCCTCAGTTTCTCTCTGTGAAAGTCCAGCGAGCCAAGATAATGTCTAGTACTTGCCCTTTATGAAACCGGGACCCCTTCTGAGTATTTGGTGAATTCCCAGCTGAAAACCCAAGAAAAGTGCCCCTGCCACCTCCAGAAAACGCAGTGTGAGTCCAGCAGCTTCTGTCCCCTGGCCTCCTCCCGGAGTTCCTGTTTTTCCCAGATCCCTGCCCTTGTGTGTGTGTGTGTGGGGGGGGGGCAAATTCTGACTCTGAGCTCTTTGGGGCCCAGACACCTTTGCCCATTCATTCATTCATTCACTCATTCATTCATTCCACAACATTTGCTGACCAGCTGTCCTGTGCAAGGCACCAGGGGTATGGAATGAACAAAAAGACCCAAACCCCTGTCTTCAAGGAGCCGACCTCCTCTTGGGAGAGAGACAGTGAGCATAAGATGACTCGTAAAATATATAAATTAGGGGGTGATTAGTAACACGGGTAGCTGGAAGACTGCGATAAAGGCTACGGGGAAAGCAGCCAGAAAGAGGAGAGGGCGAGCCCCGCCCAGCAGCTTGCCCCAGGCCCAAGGCCCCGGTGTCTCCCTCCCATTGCCTTCCCTACACGCCGCTCCAGTCTCCGCCCGCCTCTGATCTCTTCAGGCTCACCTCCTCCTGTCGACACTCCCCCTGCCAGCCATCTCTAGCCACTGTCCCCCCTGTGCCCAGCGATGCTGCAAACATAGAGGTTTTCCTTGCTCTCAGGTGGCTCCCAGTCGGGGCAAGGCCTCCAGCCAGTGCCATCAGGGCTGGGACAGAGAGATGGGGGGGAAACAAGGATTCTGCCTGGTAGGCTTCCTGGAAGAGGGACATCTGAGCAGGGTCTCAGAGGATGAATAGGAGTTTGCTGTGGGGATAAATCTTTTACCAGAGGTGTAGATGGGATTGAAGCTTGGGACAGGGGCATGGATGCCTCGTCACTTGGGGAGGGGGCAGGATTTCAAACTTAGTCTTTGTGTCAGATGGCATCATAGCCACAGCCTGGCAAGGGTGTCTGCCCAAGAGTGGGGGCGCTGGGGAAGAAGTGGACTGAGAGGGGGCGACTGTGAGGCATTGATTGTGCTCAGGCCATGGCCATGAACTGGGTTCCTGGGCTGGGTCTTCTGACTCAACAGGCTGGTAGGTGGAGGGGTTATCCGCAAGGCTGCAGGATTTGGTAGGGGACAGCCATTGTGGGGTTGGGGGCTGAAGCTTGGCTGCCGGTTAGGAGCCGTGACCTGAGGCCCTTGGAGGAGCCTCAGGGGCCCAGGCCATGCTGGCTCCAGCTGGGGGAAGCCCCCTCCTTCCTCTGTCTCCAGTGGTACCCCCCTCCCAACCTTGTCTGAGAGCTGCCAGGCTCGGGGGGCTGGTTCAGGCAGAAGCCATGGAGGGCTGTGGTGGGGGATGTGGAAACTCCAGGAGCTTGGTGTATATGTGTGCCTTTGTGTTTGTGTCTTTGTTTTCACACAAGTGCAGACTGTGAACTTCTACAGGCTTGTGGTTTTTGTGTGTCACGTTGTGGAGACTGAATGTGATTGGGAAGTGACAGGGGAGAGGGGAGATGAGGGCTTTGGACTGACAGGTGGTGCTTGGGCCACATAGCATTGGAGTGTGGGCTCTGTGGCAATCTGGGTGGTTTGTGAGGTGACCTGGCTACCATCAAGAGGCCACCAAAGAGGTTCTGGGGAGGGTTGGGTGGAGGGTGGGCTGCCAGCCACCCACCCTGGTCCAGATCTCCATCTATCCTTGGGGACCCCCTGTAGAACAGGGACCATGTCTTGGCTTTCCAGACTGCCCGGGGCCTGAGGCACATGCCCTGTGGCTCCCAGCCTCTTTCCACCAAAGCCCCAGGTGCTTGGGACTGCCAGGCCCAGCAGAGCTCTGGCCTCCAGCAGGTGATCAACCCAGGAGCCATCCTCCTGTGGGGTTTACAGCACAGCTGAGCCCAGCCCTCTTCCCCGGGTCCAGGCGAGGGGCCATGCTCAGAACCATGAGTGCCCGACCCCCTTCACGCTGACCTTCAGCCTGTTTTCCAGAGGGGGCAGCTGGGGCCTGAGAGCCCGGGAGTCTACAGTGCTTGGCGGGAACAGGCCCGAGGGGTGGGACAGAGGAGTAAGAGTGGGCTCATGTGTGTGCCTGTGTGTGTGTGCACATGTGTGCACCCATGCTAGGCAGGATGGGGTGGTGATTAGGAGTGAAGACTAGGTACAGACCACCTGGCTTCTAAATCTGGACTGTCTCTGGCTGTGTTCCCTAGAGCAAGTCACTCCCCTCTCTGAGCCTCTGCTGCCCCGTCTGTAAAATGACCATCATAATAATCTTTAACTTGCTATGAGGATTTAATGAGAGGATTCCCTCAGAATGTGTGTCAGTATTGCCTCCATGATAGCCGTCGTTGTTGTTAATGAACTAATGAACAAGTTAATGGATGGAGTGAATGAATGAACGAGTCGGTTTCCATCTTTATTGCATGCTGTGTGTCTGGCATAATGCATGGCCTTTGGGGGCTGAGGTGGCTCGGGGAGAGCGCCTAGCCCAGCAGGCCAGAAAATCGAGTGAAGTTGGGGCTGTGAGAGGAGAAAGCCCTGGGACCTGGGCCTGCCGGAGCTCATGAAGAGCAGGGAGAGAGGCCATGTGAGCCATGTGCAAGGCCTTGAATGCCAGGCCAAGTACCTTGAGCCTTCCCTTGGGGAGGATCTTCAGCTGGGAGTAACAGGATCAAATGTGCATGTGAGCAATGAACTTCCAACTGCTGCATGGGAAAGGATGGCAGGTGGCAGCCCCGAGCCCTGGAGGAGGCGGGCCCCTCGGTCCAGGTGAAGTGGAGAAATTTGGGCAAGATGAGAGGGAAGATTTGCCCAGAGTCTGGAAAGTGAGAGGGGGCTCCTCCCATGATCACCAGACCTGGGTCCCCAAGGGAACTGGGGCCCAGAGAGGGATGGCCACTTGCTCATAGACCTCCAGCTGGCATGTGGGCGTCACCCTCGTGGCAGCGCCTCCCTGGGCTGGGCAGCCTGAACCCAGTGATGGCCGTC